CCAGCGGGGCTTCCTCTTTCAGGGTCACGGCTTCCTTCCCTTTATTTGGGGAAATTAGGATGGGTATCGTGTTCTCAGCAGCCTCTTCAAACAGCCTTTGAGAATGGCTTGAGTCCAGTGGGACCTTTAGACCAACAAAGTCTTAAAACACTGGATAGAAGCTTCCGCGTGCACACACACTTCTTGAGATAAAGGTTCCGCGGGACTCAAACTTGGCTGCCTCAAACGAACACGGTGTCAGGCTCCTTTGTCAGGTCGCACCACACAGGGCTTCATAAGAAGATAACTGTTTATTAGCAGCTCCAGTACTAAAGAACACGGGTACAGCTTGTGTCAGGAATGGCCGTCACTACTAGGGCCTCTGACTTATAGTGAAATCAAACATTCCCCCTGTAAGCATGAACCAATGGATATATTTCGCACACACGACAAAGCAAACGGGCATAGCAGAAAAGCCATTAACTTTCCCAGCTGTGTAAACTGCAGCTGGAACATCTACAAGGTCAAGCGTAAGATAGCACACAGTAGCTGAGCAGGAGAGAGCTGAGAACGAGAAGGAGGGTGCCCCTCCACAGTTCAGATCTATGACAGGGCAACCTGACACACGGCTACCCACCTGAGCCTTTGAAAATGTTGCTTTCAGAGCCTTGATGGAGCACCACATTTGTGGCCAAGAGGGACACATGGGTGAGGGTTGCCAGCCTCCAGGCGGTAGCTGGAGGTCTCCTGGCATTGCACCTGATCTCCAGGCGACAGAGATCAGTTCACCTGGAGAAAATGGCTGCTTTGGAAGGTTGACTCTGGGGCATTATACCCAATCTATAGCTCTGGGTTGGGAAATACCTGGAGATTTTGGGGGTGGAGCCTGAGGAGGGCGGGGTTTGGGGAGGGGAGGGACTTCAGTGGGGTATAAGGCCACATAGTCCACCTTTCAGAGTGGCCATTTTCCTCCAGGTGACCTGATCTATCTCACCTGGACGTCGGCGGTAATCCCAGGAGATCCCCAGCCACCACTGTGAGGTTTTAAACAAAGAGAGATCACGGGGTGAGGTGAAACAATCAAACCACATACAGCCCTGGTACGATTAATACTTTGAATAGAAACGGACTTATAAATGTTTCATAAGTAGTGTTATTGTCCTTTTTATAATTACGTAGAAAAAGTAATAGGCTCATGTTTCAGCAGTGCGGGATCTGCCTTGAGAAAGCAGCAAAACGGAAGTCACACCCGTTCCGTCGGTGGAGCTGCAGGGAGTGCAGTGCGCAAGTGAAATATGAACATGAGAATTTCCTGCATCGGGCAGGGGGTTGGACTAGATGACCCTGGAGGCCCCTTCCAACTTTGTGGTTCTATTAAGTGATTATGGAACAGAGGCAGTTTGGTGTAGTGGTTAAGTGCGTGGACTCTTATCTGGGAGAACCGGGTTTGATTCCCCCCTCCTCCACTTGCACCTGGCTGGATGACCTTGGGCAAGCCATAGTTCTCTGAGAGCTGTCCTTGAAAAAGAGCAGTTTCTGTCAGAGCTCTCTCAGCCCCGCCTCCCTCCCAGGGTGTCTGTTGTGGGGAGGGGAAGGGAAAGGAGTTTGTCAGCCGCACTGAGACTCCCTTGGGTAGTGAAGGGCGGGGTATAAATCCAATCTCTTCTTCTCTCTTCTTAATTTTTATTTAAAACCTTGGGAAGTCTTTCAAGATGCTTGGCACAGGCACTTAACTTTTTCCTATTAACTATACAAAGGCTGTTAACACTACTTATTAAATATTTATAAGACAGAAGAAGAAGAAGAAGAAGAGAAGGAAGAGGAGGTTGGATTTATACCCCATCCTTCACTCGGAGTCTCAGAGTGGCTCACAAACTCCTTTCCCTCCCCACAACAGACACTCTGGGAGGCAGGTGGGTCTGAGAGAGCTCTTGACAGAAACTGCCCTTTCAAGGACAGCCGTGGCAGAACTATGGTCGTTTACCCTAAATGTATTAATCATATCACGGTTCTATGTAGTTTGATTGTTTCACCACCGGGAGGTTGGAAACCCTAGGATCAGAAGGCATCAAGTGTGGGTTTTCCTGTAATGCGGACACGCCCGTTTCCCTTCCTGCTTCTAGTTAAACCAACTGGACAAGGCAGCGGATGCCGCTCACACCTTCTTCTTGGCAAACCCGGAGCACATGGAGGTGCAGCAGGACCTGGAGAACTACAAAACCATGGCAGGGAAGGTCGATCTGGTTGACCGAGAAGCACGACAACACCTGGTAAGCTTGGATGGGGCCAGAATTTGGCCTTTTCATAGGCTTGGAGTAAGGTTGGTGCCAAAGGTTTGCCTAAAATGGAGTCTGGAGAAAACATCAGGGCTCTTGTCAGGCAAAAAACACCTCCTCCTCCTCTTCTTCCTCCTCTTCTTCTTCTTCTTGTGTAGTGGTTAAGTGCGTGGAATCTAATCTGGGAGAACCAGGTTTGATTCCCCACTCTTCCACTTGCCCCTGACTGGATGACCTTGGGCAAGCCGTAGTTCTGATAAGAGCTGTCCTTGAAAAAGAGCCGTTTCTGTCAGAGCTGTCTCAGCCCCGACTACCTCACAGGGTGTCTGTTGTGGGGAGGGGAATGGAAAGGAGTTTGTAAGCCACTCTTAGACTCCTTTGGGTAGTGAAGGGCGGGAAATGAATCCAATCTCCTCCTCCTCTTCTTCTTTTTCTTCTTCTTGTGTAGTGGTTAACTGCACGGAACTGGGTTTGATTCCCGACTCCTCCACTTGCACCTGCTGGATGACCTTGGGCAAGCCATAGTTCTGTCAGAGCTGTTCTTGAAAAAGAGCCGTTTCTGTTAGAGCTCTCTCAGCCCCACCTACCTCCCAGGGTGTCTGTTGTGGGGAGGGGAAGAGAAAAGAGTTTGTAAGCCACTCTTAGACTCCTTTGGGTAGTGAAGGGTGGGGTCCTTCTTCTCCTTCCCCTCCGTGACATGGATGCTCAGTTCAGAAGTGTGACCCACCTTCTTGTTTGACCTTGCGTTGTTCTCCCTCAACAACCGCTAGTCTCCATCCGCTTTGCAGGAGGATTACCTTGCCGGAGTGAGGCATTACGACCAGGAGGAATACCCCTTGGCCATCCATTTCCTGGAGCGGGCGCTGGAGGGGTACAGCACCGCCGACGTGGAGTGCCGGGTCTTGTGCGAAGGCCCCCAGCGGTTCGAGGGATACGAATACCTGGACTATAAAGTCACCCTCTACGAAGCAATTGCAGGTGAGCTCCCTGGTGGGAGAGGCGTGGGGCTTTTAGGCCCGTGACCATAGAGTCTAAGCGAGAAGGGAGCTCATCTGGGCCTGATTCGTGTGTCCCAGCGGCACGTGCAGAAAGGAGTGGGGAGGGACGTTTTGACAGCATTGCTTCAAAGGGGCACCCCCACAAAGCCAGAGGGAGCCTTACCATGAGGGAAAGTGAGATGGCGGATTTTTGGTCACCAGAGCCCGGGGCCTTTTCCGTCGTGGCTCCAGCTCTGTAGGAGGGGCTCCCTGAAGAGGTGGGGGGGGGAGCTCCATCCTTGGAGATCTTCAAGGGGTGCTTCAAGGCCTGCCTCCTTGCCAGGGTTTTTGAGGGGGGTTGAAATGGCGGGCATCTTTTAAGGGTGGGAGGAGGGAGAGATTTCGGGTTGGCTGTTTTAAGTTTGGTTTTAGACTAGAAATGTTTTGAACTGTTATCGTAAGCAGCGCTCCCTCCAAGTTATGGAGTCCTGTGAGCAAAAACTCTACTTTGCGAGCGACTGGCATTAAAATTGTGAGCTATGAGCGATTTGGGAACTGCATAAATTAGTTTGCTCTGGAGCCCTCCTTCCCGAGCGAAGACCAACATGTGTGAGCTGGAGGCTAAGAAATGGTGAGCTAGCGCACACTACCTCAGCTTAGAGGGAACACTGATCGTCAGCCACCTTGAACCATGAGGAAAGGCCCTGTTCCGCCTACTGTGGCCAACTCCCTTGCCTGTGCTTTTCCGTCTACGGCACACATAGGTAGGGCTGGGACCCGACAACTGTGCTACGGAGCGCCATCTGCTGGTAGTATTAATTGAGTATCTGAAGTTTCTAGGTTTGAATCGACTAACTCTGGGGCAAGTGATGCACTGTATTCTTAGTGCTTGGGGGGGGGGGTCAACAGTGGGAGGGCTTCTAATGTCCTGGCCCCCCTGGTGGCCTTCCTGATGGCACTGGTATTTCTGGCCACTGTGTGATAACAGTGTTGGGCTGGATGGGCCTTTGGCCTGATCCAACATTGGCGTCTCTTATGTTCTTATATCTGGGACAAGGGATGCTCTGTCTTCTTGGTGCTTGTGTTGTGCTTTTGGTGGCTGGGGGGGGGTAACAGTGGGGGGGCTTCTGGAGTTCTGGCCCCACTGGTGGACCTCCTAATGGCACCTGGTATTTCTGGCCACTGTGTGATACAGTGTTGGGCTGGATGGGCCTTTGGCCTGATCCAACATTGGTGTCTCTTATGTTCTTATGTTCTTATGAATGTATTATGTTTTTATGTTTTACTTACGTTAAATTGTTTATGTTTATCCTTGTTTTAACCCGCTCTGAGCCTGCTGTGCAAAATCTAAATTCAATCCTGTTAGCAAAAAAGGAAGGAAGGAAAGTATTTCTGTGCATGGAAGGCAAAGGAAGGAAGGAAGGAAGGAAGGAAGGAAGGAAGGAAGGAAGGAAGGAAGGAAGGAAGGAAG